TGTTGGTTGGTTGGTTGGTTTGGGTTTTTTTTTGCCTGGCTGTGGTTTTAGTCAAAATGTGTTGTGCCAGCCCAAAAATGTTACATAAATCTAAAAATATTATAACAAACCTGTTACTGTTGTTAATCAAATTTTTAGTTTCATAAAAGTCAAATTAAATAAGATACTTTTTGTAAGCCCATGTTGATTGACAATACTTTTGCTGTTAATTCCTCAGTAGTCCTCTGAGCTTTTCCTTGTTTTTGAAAACCTTTACCAAGTTGAGACCCCAGTACTTATCTGTTTAATGTTTTGACATTTCAAAGGGATGTTGGGTTTTTTTTTTCCAGCCTATTGGAACTTTCTTAATATTCCAAGACTTTCTGGAATTAAACACTGCTGCAAACATTCTTTGAGTAACTAAAAAAAAAAAAAAAAAAAAAAAAAATCACCTCCATAGCATTTTAAGACTGTTCACTTACAAATGTTAAATAACATCACCTTGATAGATTTTGCTGAATGATCGTATGCCATTCTATTGAATGTTTGTTAATACACTACCATATTCTTAGAGAATTTTTTTTTTCGTAATATGCATATGTGCTGCCTCTTTGGTTTTATCTTTGCTTACTTTAAAGCTGTGTGCGTATCTTTGCTCTGACCTTTGTAACATTTCTGAATTTTGATTTATGTTCTCTGCTCTGAATCCCCCTGCCCCTCTTCCAACCTCTTGTCTCCTCTTTGTGCTTTCACTCTTAGGCGCATTGTGGTTTTGGTTTTTTTTTTTTTTTTTTTTTATTTTGCTGGGGTTTTATTTATTTATTTATTAAATTAAGAGGTCAGACTTTTTTTCCCATGATACTGTTTTGACGGTTTCTAGTAAAAAGTTCTTAATAGTTAAGAAATTTAAACAAAAGATGTAGACAACTATTGTCTTAATTGATTTGACTCAATTTCCAGCTTTTTAAAGTGCAAATTGCTATGTATTAGGCTGATTGTTTATTATGAATAAATGCTGATGAATCAGTTGTCTTATTGGAGACCAATTGCAATAGAAAATATCTACTATACTTAACCACTGCCCTGGCTAGTACTTATTTAGTCTATTGAGATCTAGCTTACAAATTGATATTCACAGATTAAATTGGTATTCACAGATTAGTTATCAACTCTTCAGCCCTATGTATGTTGTTTTTTATTTCGCTTGTTCAGGGCCCTTGCTATGTTGATTTTTTTTTTTTTTTTTGAGTTTTTTTAACAATTTATGTAATAGTAAAGATGGATTGTAGCCTTTCTTTTTCTTTAGTGCTCTCAAAATTATTTGACTTCTAGTTAGTGGTACAAGCTTTACTGCTTTGACTAGATGTGTGTGTAGGGCTGAATTATGTAGTGAATATTAAAGGGTATGTTTGAGCTGTGCTGTCGCAGGGGAAAAAAGCATTGTTTGAAATGCTAGGCTCTGTGTCAATGGCAGTCCAGAAATGCACCCCTGTCTCCTTCTGAAGATCCTGCATTCCTGTTTTTTAAAGGGGAGAGTGTGTCTTTGACTAATCCATGTTGCTAGAGATCAGCCAGTAAAGTCCTCTCTTGGACTATCAACTTCTCCAATAGTGTTATCTCAAGGAGCCTGGTAGCTACTTAATCATTACAAGTGCTCTCAGTTTTAAGGCAAAAGGTAATAGGAATTAAAGGTTTTTTTTTTTTTTTTTTTTTTTTTTTTTAAAGCTTGAAATTAAACTTTTCTTAAACTGTCAACCAACAAACTATAATTGCAGTTTAAATTTATGACTTAAAATATTTGGTTACAGAAGGGAGGATGAAACTGCCAGAAAAGATGAAAATAAAACTATTTAGGTGCAGACACAAAACTAGTGAAATTTGACCATGCTGAAAACTGCATAGTTAACTCTTCTTTTTTTTTTTTTTTTTTTAAAGTTTTAATTTCTGTGCTTGTTAATCTTAGCATAAAAATGGCACATCCATATTCTGATTTTTGTCAGAGGACATTTTAGAGACTAATGTTTCTTAAATATTGCTTTACTTTTAGAGCTAACAATTGTGAAATAGTAGTAAGTGTGTAACAACCTCTGCATTTAAAAAGTTATTCCACCCTTGCTTCAGTACTAAGGGTTTTCTTTGTTCTTTCTGGGATTCCCCCCTTTTTTTTTTGGGTTTCCCCCCCCCCCCAATTCTTCACTTGCTAGAGAGCCTTCTGAGGTAGAGAAGATGTTTTATACTTTGTAAATGTTGTATTTTTAAAAAAATTAAAACCTTTTTTTCTAAATTCTTACACTAACACCCAAAAGATGTTTTTCCTTGTATAGGTCACCAGTAACATTATAAGGGTTAAATGTATGGCTGCTTTAATTGTGAGGAACGTATCTAAGAGAAAGCTTTAAAATATTGGGCTCTTCATCCCTTTTTCTCTCTTCTGTTATTCCTGCGACTTTTCCACTGGCCCTGCTCTTCAGCTGCTGTGAACTGTCAGACACTGAAAAATAAATGATGAAAATATAGAAATCAGAATTTAGCAGAGGCAGCCATGTTAATTTCTGTTCCATTTGAAATGCAGGAAAATATCATCTGCCAAATGGAAAAGGACAATCGGTGGGAAAAGAAATGTTCTTTTCAAGCTTCTAAGAGCAGTGACAATGGAGAGAAAAAATACTATAAAAAGTAGGCAGCTCCTTTTTCCAAGATTTTGTTTTCAATGTATTATGCATGATTAACTGTACACAGTTGCTCTTTTGGAGTCCTGAATGACTGAATACTACATCGCAGGGCTTATACTGTCTTTACTGCATTGCACTTTGCGTTTGGGGGGGAATAGGTCTTAGCTTCATGGCAGTTTTGCCAGTCTTTAGTATAGTTTTTGAATACATTCATACTTCCCTTATTTGCCTTTTTTTAATGTCAAGCATTGCACATAAGATGTTCTGCTGTTGCTATGCAACTGCTAAATCCAATATTTAATATTAATAAAAACCGAGTGGCATTAGCATCACTGAGAACAGTGGGCTAGCAAACTATGATTGTACAATATCCAAGCTGTAAAACTTGGGAGGGACTTCAGTGTGCAATTGCAGGCATGGCAAACTGTGGGGCATGAGTCATTGGCAGTTACTATTTTAAGAGTGGTGAGTTTGAGTAAAATTTCTGAGCTCTTTTGGTTATTATTTATATATATAAAAATACTTTTTTTTTTTTTTTTAAAAAAACAAAAAGCTAAAGAATGAGGTTGGTTAGCTGTTTTCCTTAAGGTTTCATTTCAGATACAAATTGTGAGGGGTCACTACCCATAAAAGAGTCAACGTTACAAACCTATGGGTCAATACCCTGATTCTCCTATTTTTCTTCTAGGTCAGGTTGGTCGGCCCTTTCCCACTGTTCCTGCCACTTCCTGAAGCCTGAATTGGCTTTTTTTGGAGGCAGTACTACTTCTCTGCCTGACAAGGTGCTGTTCAATGGGATGTTTTTCCTCTTTCACCTTGTTTTCTGATCTCTCCCCTGTTTACTCTCGACTGTTACTTCACCGTCACTCTTTCACCTTTTTTGGGTTTTTTTTTTGGTTTTGTTGTTGTTGTTCTCCACTCGGTCCTTTCTGCGATTAGACGTTTAGTGTCAGCCCCTTTAGGCACTAGACCATCCTGGTGGTATGCCCTGGCAATGCTTTGGCCACTAAGTCATGTTGCAGGCTGCAAACTCTGTAGGGTCCTCCACCTGATGTCTGAAGATGTTAGTGCACTGGCACTCTTGCTGACACCCAGAGGGGTGTAACGCTACTTGTCCTTTCCTTTTTGAAAACTGCTGTCCAAAAGATAACTTTGATATTAGATCTATATTGAGTCAAAGTTACTTTAGAATTATGGCTCTTTTGCAATGTAATAACTGATTTCCTTGATAGCATGAGATCATTTAGATTTCGACTGGTGTCTTAAAATGGCTATTTCAGGTAGTTTATCTGTCCCCGATTCACCCATGCAAGTTTCTCTAAATTTAAAACTGTATTTTTGTGCCTTAAACTTTCGTTTTTCATTTCTTCTTTTGCCTCTCAAAGATTCAGGCAAGTAGGAGATAACTGCCCCTAGCTATATGCAAACTGTTATTAAACCTACAACACAAAAGTATAGGGGGGGGGGGGGTTGGGAATACAGTAAGTTGTAGTCCTGAGTTTTATGGTCATGTTGGGAATACATTTTTATAACCGGGTGGAATTTGTCTGTCCCCCTTAAAGTAGTTTTTGTACTTCTCATATTCACTCTGCTAACCTGTCTTCTCATAGTACTGGGTAGTTAATAGCTCCATAGATTTTACTGCCAGCAGGGGTTTAGTGTAATATTGATTTAACATTTCCAAATAATGGCGGTGGGGTGTAAAGGTTTTTCCTCTTTTGGAATAAACTAAAATTGGTTAGATTTATTTTAAGTGAGGCATAAATCATGGCATTGAAGTAAATCGGACTGTGTATCTTAGAGGCGGATCTGTGATTGGAATTTGATTCCTTAGTGGCATGGCACTGCTGAATCCCTTTCCTTCGAATTTTCTCTTCAAACCTGTAACTCTTCAGGAAACACTGATTCTAATGTTTGCTGAAATTCAGAAAAGTAACTGAATGCCACTCAGATGGAAGAATGTATTTTTTTAATTGGGAAAACGTCCCTTATTTCCGTTCGGAGGCCTAAGCAAGGGAAACTTTTTTTTTTTGTACAGAAATTACCTGGTCACGTTGTAGAACCTACAACTTCCTATTTTCTTTCCAAAATGGTTTATTTCAATGTCGTAATGTTCTTTGTTTTTAACCTAGCTATTTACAAAAGTGCAGGAGTCGGTGGACTCTAGGTTGTGCTATGATTTGTCAGTAGTTCAGTCATCACAATTGACCTGTGCATCTTGTAATACTTAGAGAAAACACGTTGAGCTCTGTTCTTGGAACAGATAAATATAGAACTGCTATTGTGAATATTCTTGTAGTGACGTACTTAATCTAGAAAGCTAACAATTCTTTTATTTGCTTTTAGGGTTTGAAAGTATTCTAGAAGGCCTGTTTGGACCTGGATTATTAAAAGATCTCAGTTTGTTTAAAGGTATTCAATCTCTATTTTTGTATCTTGTTCTGCATTTCTAATGACAGAAGCAGCCCCAGCTCTGCCTCTAGAAAATGTGTGTTACCGTGGTGATTTGTGCTTTTTTCCCCCCTCCCCCAGGCAGTGCTCACAGTTAGTTTCATATTGGCTAAAATTACTAATGAGTGTGCGTTCATCTTTATGTAGCTGGGAGTGTATTTGGCAGTGCTCGGAAAAACAGATTTGTTGTGCACAGATAAAATGTATACAGTTTGGTAATCTGGGGATTTAGAAAAATGGCCGAAATGAAGCCTGCATCCTCAGAATGCAGGCAAGAATGTTGTGAAACAGGTATTTAATTCGGCATTTCTCTTTTGGCTCCAGTTGTGTCGCGGTTTATGAATATGAAGTAATTTGCTATTCCTCTGATTTACAGACTGTGAGCCTGAAGGTGTTTCTGATTGGTCTTTTGATGAAAATTGTCTTTTCTGCTGCCTGAGAAGAGAAAAAGTGAAGGTAACAATGCAGATGTGTGAAGCTAGTAGTTGTAGGGGAGGGACAAAGGGAGGGAGTTTGCTGCTCCTAGTTAACTGAACATAGAAAATCTGCAACCTCCTACCCCTTTCTCCTCCTTTGGAAAAAGGCTTTCTGAATCCAAATAATATAAGTTAATGAAGAGACTTGCTTCTTCTCTGCAACTTTTTCTTTATAGTATGTGATGCGGATTTATTTTTCTGTGCAGTGGCTCTTTCTGTTTGGTGTTTTTTGTTTGTTTTGGGGGTGTTTTTGAGTTCTTTGTAAGAGATCTTGTTGGGATCATGTAACCCTTCCCAAGGGAGCCAGACTTTGGCTTGTGCATGTTTACTACAGTCAGACGCTGAGCTTATCTTCAGTATGGAAATGTGGTCCATTTTAACAACCTAGAGTCTTGTTCTGTATCTTGGAATCTCTTTCCCTGTGGGCTGTATCCTTTTATTAAAGGGCTCATATGTATGGTAGATTTTGTACCGTGCTTGTTTATAACCAAGACAGAGCCTAAACGTGGACAAGTCAGCTTTGCCAACATAATAAACTTGCAGTTTGTTTTCTTAATGAGATTATAGCTATATATGAAACAAAGGCTATCGTGCTATACGTGATTGTTGCTCAGCCCACGTGTTGAAATAATGATTGTTCTATAGCATAGGAAGGAAGGCTCATCTGTCTTGGCAAAACTATTTGCTGGAACTCTTAACTACCGGTTCTTCCTGCACAATGTAGAATAACATGCAGAGTGGATCTCTATCAACTTAGAAATGAAACAAAAGCACCCTTCCCTCCGCAGCAGCTAACATGTACGGCTGCATGGCTTGTTCATAAAGGAAGTACCTTGTTTACGCTGATACTTGCCATGTTGCTGGTTTATGCTTGTTTTTGTTAAGGCATGGGGAGGAGGGTTAGGAACGCTTGCATTTAGAACAGATGTAAGGCATCATACTTTCTTTCATTGAGACTGACAGCAGGTAAGCTGTATGTACGTTTGTGCTCTAAGGAGTTCTGTCTTGTTTGACGTACGTCATCTCATAAAAAGACAAAATTCAGTGTTTAGCACAGTCCTAGTTAAGCCATTGAATTGATTCAGAAATTAATTTTGTGGTGTGGTCAGAGACTGGTCGTAGTCTGGGAGAATCTAACAGTGTATGGGTAGATCTTCAAAATGACTGTTTACATCTCAATCGTCCTCACAGGTCCACAATAACTAAAATACAGCTCCTGAAAATCGGTGATTGTTAGGTGAAGACAAAAACTAAGAACACGAATGTCTACAGTATAGTGCGCTGATTAGGCATGGTCGTCTTGTCCTTTTCAAGCTTCTACACAACTTTTAGTCGGAAGCTGAGATACCGCTATTTATATTTTCATGTACTTTGCTAGGCTTTTCTTTCTAGTTTCACATAGTAAAGCATAGCTCATGATTGTGAGTATCACTGACAAACTGGTGATGTGTTCCTTATGCTAGTGCTAGTTACCATTTACATTAAGGTTCCTCATGTGGTTTCCCATTGTACTGTGTGGTGGCTTTTAAATGGGTGAAAGAAAAGATGCAGATGTGGTGTGCTCTGTGGTGTTTTGGCATCAGGGATCTAAGGAGATTTTAGGATTGTGTACAGATTGACACAGAACGCAGCAGGGGCATGCGGCATCGCTAGGCAGAGGCACTAAGTGAAGGGGAAGGAGGCTGTAAGTTCTGAGCAGGCTGGAGGGAAACGAAAGTTGTTAAAGGCTGTGGTAGTGTCAGTCAGCCACTGTGGGCTCAGGTAGAATAATTTTATAAATAAAACCCAAGCAATTTCTGTCACTTTACATTTCAGTAGTCAAAAATACCTGTTTAAACCGTTTTTCTTACAGCTGATTGATAAACAGGGACAGCAAAGAGAGGTTTGTATATATGCTTGTTTGCTGCATGGCCAGGGATCACTACCTGTTTGAGGGAGTGGGGAAGGAGGGTGAACCAGTTCCATTCAAATCAGACTTGTGACTTCTCTGTTAATCCTGGTGATTCTCCTCATGCTTGGCACAGGGCTTCTTTGGACTATGTAGGATTTTTTTAGGGTTTGGGTTTGGTTTTTTTCTTTTTTTTCCTCCCTGCTCCCCAACCTCTATATCAATTCTGTTGGGTTTGGGTTTTTTGGGGTGTTTTGGTTTGGGTTTTTTTGTTTTGTTTTTGAGGGAAGAATATGGCTCCTTTTAGATCTAGTGAGTTCTTGTATGTCAGCTGAGAGAGATGGCAGGGTGGTAGTGCTTCCTTTCCTCTGTGGGTATGCCAAATTGCTACACCGCTGGCAGTTGCTGATGTCATTAGCTTTGATACAGAGTTAAATGTGACTTTCTTGCAGGAGCCTTCAAACAGTATGGATTTAACAACATCATAATTTGAATTAAAACATCAGAGAATTAATTGTTAAAAAAAAGTTTGTAACTTCATTTGGTATTTAGCCAAATGATGGACAGTCTTCAGCAGATGGACTGAACTAAATTAGAAATGGTACTAGTTTATTTGAAATCTCTTCCATTCAACATCTATAGTGATATCTTTAACTCCCCTTCTTTTTAGGGAGTTGCAGGCTCAGTCTTCTGTAGCTACTAAAACTTGTCTGTTCCTGTACATAAAGCAGTAGCAGTTGCGCTTTCTGTGCCACATCCTCTATTCTGCTTTTTTTATTGTCGATGTGCATCCTCTTACCTTTTTAGGAAAAGAACGGGGCAGGATGGGATGATTTGGGTTTGTGCTTGTACAGTAGTGAGTTACAGAATTAAAAGCTGTGTAATTGATGTTGTAGCTGGGAACAAGATAGCCACAAACCACATATTACAACAGTGTGTGGCTGTGGCTGGCCTTTTTTCCAATGAGTACATCTTTACCAATACCCCCTTTTGGATTAGAGGAATAATTAATCAGTGTACTTGATTTTCACCTTTGAGTGACCTGTAGGTACCTGGTCTGACAAGTTCAAAACCAATAAAAATCTTGAGGGTTTTCTTCTGGATTTCATTTGCCCGTAAGAATTACCTGTAACTTAGGAGATCAGTGGTTGTGCTTAAGGAGAATTGAGTTCTGGACTGCAGGATGAGAATTGGAGGCCGAGATTAGTTTATTGGCAGAGCTGTTTAAGGGAAAAAACCTACACTTGCTCTCCCATCCATTTCAGTGATGTTGGTTCTTGCTTTTACAAGCAATCAGATTCAATTACATGCATTCTTCAAAGGATGGAGAACCATCTGCTGAAGTATTCTGAAAAGATTAATTTATTTGTAGCAGTAGTTCTACTTGCAAATGCCGAGCAAATGCATGGATTTTTTGGCAGTCAAAATACAAAACAGTTTTTGATAGAGAAATGGACTTAAGGGCCTTCATTTGAAAGGGATAATAAAATACAGACAAAGTAGGGAGCTAAAATACTCCCAGACGTTTTTTCCCAAATCCAAAGGGTTATGTGCAATAATGTAAAGCTTTTAGAAATTGGAATTTTTTTTTCCCAATCATATAATGCAGAATTACACAATTGTTTCAGTGTGGTATGATCAGAGAGAATAATAAGTTACCTAAGGATCTGCTATCAGGTTATTAACACAGGTGCCTGCGTGCAGAAATGCATGGGTACATTGATGGGCATGAAAGACAAAAAAGACAAATTTAGCAGCCCTAACTGCCTCCTCATAGTGAGAGGAAGTAGATCGGGTTCTGTGGGACCAAACCCGGTGAGTTCTCACGTGGATAATCTGAAAATGTGGTAATTACCAGTTCCTTGTGGGCTTTATCTTTCACAGGGAAGATTTAAGATAGTATAGTTTGCAAGGTGGTTGGTGGGTTTTTTGTTGTTTGTTTTTTTGGTTTGTTGTTTTTTTTTTTAATGAAGCTTTTCCTTCTAAAAGGTTGTGGTACAGAGAAGACCCATCAATTCAGACAAATTGAATTTTAAGTGTACTTGACTTAACTCTTTTTAATTATCGTTCTTAATTTTTCAGTGTGGCTTGTTAAATAAACTGACAGAGCTATCATTACAGAAGAAATCTGTGGCTCCATGTAGAATGTTTGTATCAAATGAGGTAGCCCATACTGTCATTTGCTCATAGTTGGAGCTCAAGCCTAGTTTAATATTTATTTTTTAAAAAAAGATGCAGGTACATAAGGTCAGAAGAAAGCACTAGTAATAAGAGGGGAAATTGGAAAAAGAATCCTTAAAGAGGATTCAGTTGAGTATATTCATTGGAAAAGAAAACACTATTGTCTAAAGCTACATAAAGCAATTCATATGTAAATAAAAAAAAAGGGGGGGGGGACATGACTAATCTCATTAGTTAGTGAGAGCAGAACAAGAAGGATAATATTACTAAGCATATTAACTATTTTGTAGATATATTTAAGCTACGAAAATAGCAAGAGAGAAAATGACTTCTAGGAGCATACTCTGGAGTTTCATGCTGTTGATGGCAGAAGGTTGAGTCTGGTCTTCAAAGTACCATGAAATACCTGGGCTTCAGTGTAAGGACCTCTAACGATTCTTTCAGTTGTGAAGAAGTGTGGTAGGGTACAGCATGTGAAGGAGTAATTTTAAAATTCAAAGTTACTCTGATATGATTTGGATATTTTTAAAAGCTTGTAAGTAATTGCTTTACACAAACATCTAAAAGGTAATACCACGCCATTACTTGATTATGATTAGTCATAATAACAACCTCTGAATCTGGTGTCCTTTCACTGTGGAGGAACATAAACAATAAGAAATAAATTGTGGTAAGTGTCTGAATAATTCTGAAGAGAAGCTACTGCTATCATTTAAAGTGTTAACTCGTGAAATAATTGAAGATGGCAAAGGAAATACATGAAAATGAGTTGAAGTTGTGGAACTTTTATGATCTTTGATGGCTTTAGAATGTGTTTAAACTGTGTACGGAGATCCTAAGTGTGCTGGAAGGTGCTCTAAAACATTTTTAATGGATTTCATCACTCTAAAAAATTCAAGCATTTAGACTGTCAATTTTGTATTGGGTGGCTTTAAAATAATTTGATATGGAGGCTAAAACCTGAAGAGGCTGTTTGTGATAATCTCCAGCTGTGTTTAGTAGTAATGTGGGGTTACAGTTTTGCTTGTGCATAAATGTGAATGTAAGCATATTGTATTTCCACTGTTTTCTTTTCTCTCCCCCTACTATAGGTAGTAAATGATATTCAGTAGTTATGGATCAGTCAAGTTAAATTTGTTTTGAATTTGATAAATCTGACATCAGTCATCTTAATAAGGAAATATTACAGTTTCTTACTATGGAAGTATGTATGTTCAGTAAGTGAGGGACGTCTTAAAACTAATTAAACTATTTGAATTTTTAGTTGATGCCAAGCTGGGAACAGTTCTAAGTGCTTTAAAGAGCATACTCAGAATTGAAAATTACCTCGATAAATGTGAGAAAGAGGACAGACAGACTTGTTTTGTCAAGTCACAAGTTACAGATGTCTGAAAAGTGATAGCATTGTAAAAGTAGTAAACTGTTTTGGGGGCTATATCAAGAGAGGCGTTTGTCTTAATACCTGGAGAGGAAATTTCTTCTCTTACCTAAATGCTGGTGAAGCCTCAGCTGGGTATAGCATTTTAAGAGAGACGTAAACACGCTGAATAGCATTGCAGTGAAAGCAACAAGAATGACTTGGTCTTGAAGGGAGAAGGAAAGAAGACAAGTCTCTGGTGCCCTTAAGGCTTGTCTACAGGAAATAGTAGATTATTCTCCTTTGCACTGGCTAAGAGTTAAAAAGACTGTACAGTCTTAAGAAAAATGAAGTGTTGGAGAAGAGAACCTAGGGATGCTGAAACATTTCTTTCTTACTCACTGTTCCTGATCTTGCCTTGGGGTGGGGTGGAGGCTGGATTGTATCCCTAGGGTCCATGGGTCGGCCGGTCAGCCACAGGTGGTCTGTGGGAAGCTTCCCTCCGTTTTTTTTTTTTCCACAAAGATGGATAGGAATTATCTCACACTATTCTAGCTTCTGGGCACTTCCCGCTCCACCTGCTTGCGGCCTGTGGCTTAAACATGAAGCTGCTGTTGCAATATCTATACAAAAACAGCCTGCATCATACCTTTCTCTTCATGCCAGAGGTTTAGCATTTAGGAAATGTTGATACAGCAGTTCTACAAGGAGGGTCTCAATGATGATCCAGTACTAGTGCTGACGAGGCCCGGCTGTCCAGGATTCAGTGGTCTCTCAAGGTCATGCATTGACCTTGCATTTTGAAAACCTGAGCTCTGTATTTCTAAGGCTCTTTGACTTAATTATATAGTTATGCTCTATATCTTAACATAAAAAAGAGCTTTAGCCCTTTGGGAGCATGTGCAAACCACTCCAAGTATCTTTTCCTGAAGCATTATTGTTCAATATAGTGGTACTGCAAGTTCACTGATGGGATTCCAGGGATGCTCTGGGGCATGGTTCCCGCCTGAAGAGAAGCACAAAGAGAATAGAATGAATGCTGTGTTATAAATAATATGTAAAAGTAACTGGCTGGGGTTTTTTCCAGGGTATTTGTAACCAATGACAATGCTATCTAAATATTAATAGGTTTTTCTTCTTCCTACTACCTGCGTGTTGGTACTGAAAACTTTGATGTGATTCAGGACTGTAGAGTGGGAGGATAAGACTGAAGATAGTCGATCCAAATAATGGTTATTGGGAAGAAATGGTGGAAAACATAAAAAACAAACAAACAAACAAAAAACCCCAAACCACCCAAAAAAACCACACAACACCAAAATCCAGAAAACCAAACACACACCCCCAAACCAGACAAAAAACACCCCCTTTTGGAAGTTGAGTTTGAATAGCAATCACAACCAAATATTTACTGTGGAAACTTGAAGTTTCCTTCTAAGGGTGAACCAGCTGCAAAGACTGCTGGAATAATTGTGACACAATTGACAAGAAAATAATTTAAAAATGCAATAAACAGTAATCTCTCCAGTATATTTTGTCTCGTAGTCAATGCTGTACTGCAGATGCCGGAAAATAGCTGAAGATTTTTTTTTTTTCCTATGCACAAGGTTAAATCTGACTCTTTTATATAACTGTATTCTTTACGTTTTGATGTCTTAGCATGGACATTGGTAAAAACCATACATGTAAAGAGATGCATGCTCCTTAGTTTGAGGGGTAAGAACTAAGCACTGCCATTGCCTTGGTATTCCCCTCTTCTGAATGCAGATCAAATGATCCTTTATTCAGCCATTCACCAGTGTAAGCCACTTACAATTTTTTTTCTGGCTGATCCCTTTTTCGTCATTCCTTCTCTGTGTAGAAAATGTACAGCTTTAGTTAGCCTAGGTAGATTAAATTGTACTCTTTATACATTACCTTTATATGAGTAATGTAAAGTACACTTGTTTATGGTGAGGCATGCTGCCGCTGAACTCGGTTTCCACCGAGTTGCTAGGCTAGTACTTACTATGTATTATCTCAGTTGCAAAAAGTACTAGGAAGATTTGAAATGCATTGTGTTGGCCAAGGGTTATTTTTATTTTAGGCCTCTTCCAGAGCTATAGTCTGTCAAAGGGCAGAGTATCGGATCAAGTTGAAGGGGTAATTATTTCCTTCAATTCTTTGTTTGTCCTTTGAATTAAAAAAGTTTTTTGCAGTGGCTTGTGGGACTTTAGCTAGAGGATGCTAATTAACTAATGGATCTTATCTAGCTAAATCTCTGTGCATCAGTTTGCAGGGATTCCTTTTAATTTAAAACTTAAAGGAGTTTGTCTGTAAATGCTTTTAGATGCTCCAGTGATTGTTCCAACACTTCTGTATGCCTAGATTACTTCTGTTATTAGCTAATTTGCACAAATGTCTGCTTTTTACACAAACTGATAAGCTGAGTTTACAATTATCCTGATAATGCCTAAAAGATAATGGAGTTTGACTCAGAATGGCTGTCAATAACTAGGACAGATCCTGCATTAAACTTCGTCAGATGCAGAAACACAGTTTCAAAAAGAGGATGCAAGTATGTTCTATGAAGTCTCACCTGAAGAGTAACTCTTATAAAAATATTTGGCTTATTGTCCACAAATATTTTTATTGTGAAATCCTGTACAGATACTTCACATATTTTAAGTATCAGAATGGTACAACTGCATTTTCAGTGTGTTCATAAAGTGCCAGTGAACCGCGGGAGCACTACTACTGGTTGCTGGTGCAGGAGTACCTGGCACAGAGGTGAACGCTTTTATTATAGTTAACCCATCAGTTCAAATTCGTATTCTTAAAAGACTATCTCAAAAGCGCTAATCTTTCCTCTGAGAGCCAGCAGGTTTGAGAGCAAGCCTGGAATCTCTCTGGTATGGAAAAAAGGGTCAGTCACTCTGTGAGGTCTTTAATTCTGCAGACTCTTACCTTCACAGCAAACGTGTTGCTTTACCCACGTGTCACCTCTGTCATCGCATGCTCCTCATCTTTTTATTTAGCATAAAATACTGTTTTGTCTCTATACCCTGTCTGAGATGGTATCTCTTTACTTTTTTGATAGATACCCTGTCTGAGATGGTATCTCCCTTTACTTTTGATAGAGATGGTATCTCCCTTTACTTTTGATAGAGATGGTATCTCCCTTTACTTTTGATAGAGAACTTTTGGAAGCTGTTGAATTACAAATCTGAGGTGAGAGCCCATGTTGTTCAGGCCAGAGTCCAAAGCATTTCATATTATTACCCTTTGCACGTAGTTCATGTGACTGCTGTGTTTGTTAATTTACTATGGGCTGGTTATGTAACCCTGCTTCATTACACCTCTTGAAGTTGAGACGGCACAAACTTAAGAATGGCTTCTTCTTTTCATTTATTGTGAATTATAAATGAATTGCCAGTTCTTTCCTTCCCTTCTAGTCCCATGAGGATGTGAACCTGAAATCGACGTGTACAGTAGAGGCCAAAAACCCAGATGTAGCCTAGATATTATGGTAATGGATACTTTGTAAAGGTTAACAAAACAAAACACTCCCTAACCCCAGAGAGTGATTGTGTATGCATTCCTGCAGTAGGTAAATACAGGTAACTTTAATATAGCTTAAAATGAAAGTGGAGGGAGAGGGCCAGGAGAGAGATTGTTCTCCTAAGCAGGGGCAAGGCATTAAACTGAAGGAAATGAGAAAAGGGGGATGGTGTTGGGGGGGGGGGGGGCGGGGGGCGGGTGTGGTGTTGTGTGTGGAATCCAAGCATTTAGATTTCATATTTTTGTAACCATTCTTCTAGTTTGGGGGGGGTGTGGTGTTGTGTGTGGAATCCAAGCATTTAGATTTCATATTTTTGTAACCATTGTCTTCTAGTTTCTTGAGTTGTATTTAAAATTAGTAATTTATCTTGGTATCTCACACAATTTAATTATCCTAGTTAAAACACTTGTTTTGAAATATTCTTGAGATAACTCAGTTGCTTCCGGTTGCAAGAGATAGAATGAATTTGAATTCATTGCAGGTGTTATAAGCAGCTAACTTAAGTTTATTTCACTTAAAAGCAGCTACTACTGAGCCTTTTCACAAAAGGACCTGTTGGTTGCTAATGCTTGGTCATTTATTGCTCAGTTCGCATGAACGCTGTGTAGAGTAAGGAGAACTTTCTGTGTTTTGCCTTCAACAGTTATTTCTTGGAACTAAAAGTAATAGCCAAAGAACAAGTGCTAGATATGAGATTTGCAGCCAAATGTTGTAAAATATCTAAATCTTCTTCTTTACAGTGGGCTCTTATTTCCCATAATGTTATCAAATCTTACAGGCTTCTGCTGCATTTACAACAAGAAAACAGGACAAAGTACAATGTTCTGGAGCAGTCAAAAATCAAGTTGTGATTTCAAAAGATTCAATTCTTTGCTGAGTACCTAACAAAGTTTTGAATTTAGTAAAGTATGTAATGACTAAGGAACTTTATTCATTTTGGATTCAGGAATATCTTACAAATATTAAATATCTTTGCAGGAACACTTAGTCAGTCTGGATGAGCCAGCCTCGGAAGCTGGACAAGAAGCTCTGCTTAGACAAGAGCAAGCAAAAATCATTCGTTTTGAAAGGCAAGCGGAAGAGTTCCTCAATGCAGTCTTTTACAGAAAAGGTTGGTTTTAATGGGGGGGGGGAAAATGGTATCTCTCCCTGGTCTTTTTGCATGCAATGCAGGTATCCA